CTCTATATTAACCCTCACCTACTCCCTCCAAGCTTCCTGTCCCTATCTCAATTGTTGGTTTTTTTTGTACCTTCTGCTGTGTAACCTTTCTTTGTGTATGGCACATTTTCCAAGTCACCCTTTCGAGCCAAAGAGAGGATCAGGGTAGAAGGAAGGAGATACCATTGGCAGTTTCCCATATTTATAGCTTTCCCAGTTATCTTACCTTCTTAGCCCCATGAAAAATGATTAATGGGAAAAAAATGCCTCTTAACAATTGTAAATATAGTCCCTGAAACACTATTTTAAGCTGCTAATAAGCATGAAAATATGCATTAAACCACATGCTCAGTACCTCAAAGTAGTCAGGGAAGTTCTCTTTAAAAACTAAAATGAAACAGGTTATTTGCTAAGAACTGAAACCTACCTTCTTTGCCTCAGGTGGTTTCATGGGAACCTATGAGGGACTTGATTGATTCAATGAGCACAGGCAATTGATATTCACTCATCCCAATTTAAGATGCCAGTAGAAAGGGGGTGGTTAAAAAGGAATTGGTTAGTCTAGAAAGTGAATGTAAACTAGACATACAAATGGAATATATAAAATTCACATTAAATTAGAAAACCAGCCAGAAAATTAACTGAACATTTGACGCTTTGCCAAATGGGTCCAAGTCCTCTGAAAGGGGGTAAAGGTGTAGATGGTTTATCTATGGGGATGGCAATAAAGACCGAGGAGTTAAAAGGAAACTACTGCATTGCAACTCTCAGAAATGAGAATAAAAGCAACTTTTCCCCAGTCTTTCCATCTCCAGGTGCTGTTAGTCATGTCTAAGCTTAGGGTATTATTTTCTGTTTCAACTTAACACAGCACATTAATCTCAGAATCTACTCCTCCAAGTATTACACAGAGTGATGATTTATAGAAAAACAAAAAAAAACTCCTTTCCTGTTTGGAAGCTTGGGTTCTTTAGCTCGTGGTGCCACGTTTAAGGGTGCTTTGTTTCAGAGTATGATTAAAGTGGCGCCCTTGGTACTGACTGTGGCACTGAGCTATTTGTACTGCCCAAGTCTGGGCTGCATTACATTAAAACTTCCATTTTAGGGTATGTAGAGACTAAAAATTCTCTCCTAGCTTAAACTTAGCATCTACCATATATCTCAGCAGAAGCAAGATTATTGAGTATTGAACCACAGAAACCCAGCATTTTTCTTCTTTTATACTTGCACAGGAAAAGAAACCCAGACATAGCACCTATGGTTCCTCCATTCTTACAGGGAAATTTCAAGCACAGTAGGCTCTTTCCCAAGGTATAACCAGTGGGTTGCTATGGCTGGATTACATTAAATCAGATGTAACAGGCCACTGTCTCTTGCATTAATGCAGCCCAAGTTTTCTAGAAGTAGAATGAAATAATTTCAGTTTATTTTAGAAAAGGCAGGCAATGAAGATAACTTTTCTGGTCCAGAAAATAGCACTTCTGACCGGTTTCTCTAAAGCTCCTCTATTTGCAACAATTCACCAGCTAAAACTGAGTTTGGTGCATGTCTCTAACTTGGTGACAACTAGGAGTTCAGTTCTCTAAAAGCCACCAAGTGCAAATGCACTCAAAAGTTGGTAGATCCACGGGTCATGAGTCGGGGGAGACTTGGGCCAAAAGTGAGGATGAGTTGCTCTAACATTGCCACAAACTAGGCACAAGCTCATGCTTGGGCCATTCAACACCGTCACCCCTATATAGGCCTGTCATACTGACATGCCCCATTTTACCCAGTACTAGGATAGCCATCTTTTATAGATTTAAAAGCCCACGTTAATTAGGTATAAATAATTACATTTCACTCTAGAAAACTTCTAAACATTTTGTTCATATATATATAAACAAAGGGGCAGTTGTACACATGGTTTTACACTTTCTCTAAGTTATAAAAAAAAACAGTTCTGCATATTTATGCATCTACTATTTGCCAGGCACTGTGCTAAGTGCTTTATGTGCATTATCACATTTAAACCTTAAAAACATGCTTCAAGTTAGTATTGTTACTGTTCCTATTTAACAGAAGAGGAAATTGTTTTGGGAGACTTATTTTCTTAAGATCATACAACTTGTAAATGAGAGGCAATCAGCTAGAAAGATAGCACTCACACATATTTTTTCTCATTAAAAAAAAAAGGTAAAGAATTTGTTCCTGGTTAAGTTCTCAGATGTTCTTGAGACAGAACATGGAATAAGGTGGAAATGCACTTCTGGCCCCGAACACAAGTTCTCAACCACTTCTTGGACACAAGTGTTTAAATGGTCTCTGCTGAGCCACTTGCTTAGCTATCCACATGCTGTCATTCCTGCTTAGGGAAAGAATATCAATAAATTTCAAGAATTAAATATAAGTTGAATATAGTTTTGAGAAAAACAAAGCAAATCAAACTTTATACTCAGGGTTCATGACTTTGGAATTATATATATTCTCATGGCAAGGATGACAAAGTTTTGAAGTAACTTGGAAGGTGGCGAGGGTAATTTTTTATACTTTAAATACTTAAATACAATGAACTACATAAGTTTGCCTAGACAGTTTTGCAGACCTGGCCCAACAAGCAGGCTAAGATTAAAAAAAAAAAAAAAAAAGGGCAATCTGGTGGTCTTACAAATTCCCATTATCAAAACTACCCGCCCATAAATCTGAATCCAATCCAAAAAGTATGTCAATAGCTGGTTGTTTAAGATTAGGTTTATGATACAGTAACAGAACTGTGTAGAAGGAAAAAATGCTTAAAATATGTCCAAGCATGTGTAGGTCAAGTCAGTAATAGTATTTAATGCTAATATAAGCATGGAATATTCTTGTGACTGAGGATCCAGCAGACGGATACCGAATGTATTAAATGGGTACTTGTGCTATTTCCCCCCTGCTGGCAGACCCTAGTCACTAAAACCAAAAACCAGAAAACTCATCACCTTCTTTGACTGAGACTGTATCACACATCCCTAGCAAGTATCTCTGGGGCTGTAAAGCAGTTAAGATCCAACAAGGGAAGAAACTAGGCAGAGTAAGGAAATAAAAATTTTCTTTATTCCAAAACCCACCTCACTTCCCAAAGTAATGCTTATGTGCCGACTTTCTTAAAGACCCCTGCAAAATCTGTTCCTCCAAAAAAAAAAAAAACCCATTTGGAGCTGAGACAAGGTGAGGTCAACGATTGGTACTGTCAACCAACCATTTATCTGAGTCTGGTTCATTTCTAGCCTCGTGGGGGCCAAGCCTGACCACGAGGGTGAAGACAGGAGGCATGGAGGAAGGGAATGAAGGAGAGAAAAGGAGAAGGGGGGGAGACGGACCGCCGGGCCACAATTCTAGTACCAACAAAAAGAGAAGCCGCATACTGACCTAAATCATCTCTCAAAGGCGCTTTATAAATTACAGGGACAAAGGGAGGGGGTGGCGGGTGGCCTGGGAATCCTACGGACACCCAACCCTCTGACCCGCCCCCTCCCCCTCCAGCACAAGGGAAGGAAGACAGAAAACAGAGCTCAACTCGGCCATTGGCGAGAAGCCCCCTCAGGTTTTGAATCGCCCATCCACAGGCCCCCTAGGAAAAAAAACACGCGTAAACACCAAACCAACCCCCTAGGGCGGACACTCGCGCCCAGAGGTCCCCAGAACCGGAGGCCGGGCATTTACTTAGTTAGATTTTTCTTGCTTACTCATTTCCCTCAAGCACCCAACCCCCCGTTCCCACTCCAAAATCCCGCTCAACCGCCTACCCTCTCGGTTCCAGCCCCCAACAGAATCCGGTGCCCCCGTGGTGGCGGCAGCCCCCGCGCGGTCCCGGTCACTAACCTGCTGCTGTAAGGGCATTTCCGAAACCAGCCTGGCTCCGGGGGAGGTGGGGGCCCGGCTGGAGAGGGGCCCGGAGGGCCGAGCAGACCAGCGGCGCCGGCTGAGGGCGGGCGCCCGCGGGGGGTGGGGGGGGAGTAGGGAGAGGAGAGGGAGGGTGGCCGTGCGGGTGCGAGGGCGCCGGGACCGTCCCAAGCCAGGGAGCCGGCGAGCAGGAGGAAGTGGGTGCCCCCTCTCCCCTCCAGCGCCCCCTCCCGCCGCCGCCTCCTCCCCAGTCACAGGCGCGTCCTCCGCGCACGTGTGCGAAACGTCACCGGCGGGTCCCGGGGAGAGGGACAGACCCGGGCTGCGGGACGGGAACGCGGCTGCACCCGCCCTCCGTCGCCTGGGGGCGGGGAGGGGGACAGGGCGGGGAAGGAAGGGGTAAGGGGAGAGGCGGGTCAAGGGCAGGCCCGGGGCCCGGCGAGGAAGGCCCGGGCGCTCGGGCCACGCGGGCGCCGCCGCCACCACCACCAGGATGCGCCCAGGCCGGAGCGCCCTCTCGCTAGACCCTCACCCCAAGACACCCCACGCCCCAGCCTGCACCCGCCTGCCACCTCCATCGCTTCTCCCAACATATCCCCTTCCGCTGCCCCTAGCCCTTTTGTTGCCCGGAGTTACAGATCCCAAAATGTGACAAGCGCAGCCCGGCAGGACCTCTGCGCTCCGAGCATGCCTTGGGGACCCCAGGCCACCAAGATGCCTCCGAGGCCGGCGAGGGGCGACCAACCCAATTGTCCCCCCGTTTGCACCCCCAGAGTCCCCCACTCCCCAGTTCACTACTCCCTCCTCCACCCTTCTCCATCCGGGGCGTGACCCCATCCTACGCCCGAGAAAGAGGAAGCTTCGAGTTGGAGGGGAGGGGAGAGTGGGGGTAGGGAAAAGTGTAGGAAAAGAAGTGGGGGTCACGAAAAGTTTCAGAGTGTCTGATGTGGTTCGCGCCAAGGAGGTCCCCACGGCCCTGCGCTCCTTGCGGAGCCCCCTGACCCCATCGGTACTAAGGGGAGCGCACAAGTCTAACAATAAACCCTCGTTGGAGAGGCAGCCCAGAGGCCCACTGCGCACGGCCTGCGCTCTCCCGGGACAGCCCGCAGCGCGCCCACCCCCCGCCTGGGCTGGAGACGGTGGGAATAGGAGGGCATTACCGGAGGGCCGCCACCGCCGCTGCCGCCGCGTCCCAGCGCTGGTGGCTGCTGCAGCAGCCCGGCTCTGCCGGAGGGTCCGTGCGGCGTGGTGTAGAGGAGGCTGCCGGCAGTCTGCTCCGCGCCGGGGGCACTGGGGAGGATGGGGCCGGCGGCGACGGCGCCGCTTTGGAGGGAGGAGGAACAGGAGGTGGTGGAAGTGTTCGTGGTGAGGATCTGGATGTACGCGCCTGGGGCGGCGGCAGCAGCGGCGGCGGCGGCGGCGGGGAAGCCGGGGCTGGCTAGCAGTGCCCTTTTGTCCATGGAGGCTGCAGCAGCGGCGGCGACGACAGTCGCCCCCTCCCCACCCCCGGCGGTCACCAGGTACTGCTCCAGGGCGGGCTGGATCCCCCTTCTCATCTCTCGCTCCTGCTCTTTTTATTGCTATGATAAATTAATGTATTTTTTTCAATTTCTTTATTATTTGCAGTCGGAGTTTCCAAGTCTCTCCTCCTTCTCTCCTCCCCGCCCGGCGCTTCCGAGCCCCTTCTCTCTCTTTTCTTTTTATTTTTCGGCACCGCACGGGCCCCGGGGGCCAAAAATAATCGGGGCTCTGGAGAGAGGAGGGTCCCGGCCGCACGGATATCGGGCCCCGAGGGGGGATGGAGGCGTCGGGGGCGGCCGATGCAATGGATTGCGAGGCGGCGGCAGCAGCCCGGGTGCTGCGGCCGGCAGCTGAAAAATGGCTCCAGGAAGCTGCTGCTGACAATGAATGAAGGGATACGGTTTACGCGCCAAGGTCCTCCCGCGAAACTCAGATTTCCCGCCGGCTTTTCAAACCATATTTGCATATCCCCGCCCCTCAACCCGCCGAGGACTGTTCCCACAGCCCATTGGGCCTCTAGCTCCTTACTTCAGTCCCAATCGTAGGGCAGGATCACGATTTCATGGTTTCCATTGGCTGCTGTGCATCATGGTTACCCGGGCGACATGGGTTCTATTTGCATAGATCGTCTTGATTGGCTAGGAGGGCAGGGGTTTTTAGAAGGTGGGGCAAAGCTTTCCCTTCTCTCCCACGGAAGACCACGCCTGACAGGCTCCGCCCCAGTCCCCGCCTGCCTGCCGGATGGGCGCTGTTGACCTGGGCAGGGACTCCGCGCCCCGCAGACTCAGTGTTGATCTAATCTAGAGCGTAAGTTTCGCTTTTGGAAATTGTCAAGGTGACTAAGGAGACATCTTCGGGAACTACCTTTCCTTTGACCAGTCAGTGTTATAGAAGAACAACCGGAGATTTTCCCAAACATGTGCCAAAGGCAAGTTGGACCATGCGGACGATGCCTGTCAGGTGGAAATTGAGCCCTTTAAATCGTGGGTTTCTGTCTTTCTGAATCCGACCAATGCCGGGGCGAGAGCTGATCTGGAGGCCGAGACTGATAGACAGAAGCATGTGGGCGGACAGAATCGTGGTGGAAGAAGGTTGGACTGACGTGATAGCGGGCACCATTTAGTTAATAGTCTAGATCATTCCTGGTAGTTTCATTATTAGCGTGAGTAGGATTTAAGTAAAAATTTACTCAGTGTTTTGTTGAGTTGAAATCTCACCACCGGTATTGGTCTGAATCTAGCACACAACACCCTACCCTGGCCCAGAAACACGCAGGTAGTTAATCAGAGCTAACCTAGGGCTGATCTGGGGGTTTCTAATCCTCCAAGCAGTAATCCGAAGAAGTACACGTTTCCCACGATGACGTCTTGCTCCCAGCCAACCCTGCTGCACGTCCGGGCACCAGCACTTTATAATCTCGGCTTTCTAGCAAGTTCCCTGACTAAAAGCAAACCCGGTGACCCAAACTTATTCAAAATACTTAGAAGAATTTTGTTTTTTAGTAAACTAGAAATTGTAACCAGGAAAAATATTAAATTATGGTCAAATGACGTCTGTATTGGTGCAAGTATTCATGGGTCCTAAAATTGAAGAATGTTCCGTCAGACTGAGCAGGAAAAGGAACCCCTGCAGGGATGTGGGGCATGGTGTACATGTCAAGCAGTCTTATACAGTTCTAATCACTGAGAATTGTACAGAGTAACTGCTGAGCTGGTGTGTTCACTGGGTGATGAGGATTGCAATACCTCAAGCCTTTTCCCAAGACATTATTGTTATTATTAATTTCCAAAACCTAATATACTTAGTCTTAAGAAAGACCTGAAAAGATGTGTCAGTTCAGGCTGAAAACTTATTAATTTTTCAGTCCTATTACCTTATCTGAAACAGAATGAGCTAAGCATACAGTTAAATCTTGCACCAGCTGGAGCAGTTGGGGCTTACATTCAAGCTAGTTGGGGATCCATGGTATAGTACCCAACCATTTCTTGACCCAAACATTTTCCATAGACAACTGACATTATCTTTGGGGCAGATTAGGTAGCATATCAATTCCTGGTTGGAGTAGAGGCTAATGTATTACCAACTTCCTTAATATTGTTTCATCAATGTTGCTTTCCACTGTAGGTCACTATGGAGAAAACTAGTACTGTAATTACTTGGGTAGTACCACATACAAAATATCACTAGCAACATGCTTTTGGCGGTGGTATGAGGGTTGTGTGTGTGTGGGGGGTGGTACTACAATGTACACAGTCATTATAGACTTGCATCTTCAGATTAGAGACAAACCTCAGACTTGGGCCCGTGTATAAGATCCCTGCTAGAACTTCCACAAGTGACACATCCATAAGGGAACACGTGTTCACAATCCATATCCACACCTATGATCTGGTTTAGAAAGCTTTGAAATATTTACCATTCTACCTTATCCAAGCTATTTTCTTTAATGTAGGGTATTTGGCAGAGAAACAGATGTTTTGACCTTTTATGTCTAGTGAATCCCTGGATGAGAAGGTGGAGGGAAGGGTTCAAAGAGAGAAGAGGAGGTGTTGGAAAACAAGACACTAAAATTTGAGGTAGGATATTAATATGTGGAGAGGTAGCATGTTTTAGTAGAAAGATAATGGGCTTTGGAGCCAGAATAATCTGTGTTTAAATTCTGGCAGTGCCATTTACTAGCTACATAGCTTTAATCTTTAAAATCCTGGGGTATTTTGGTTTTTATTGGGGTTTTTTTTTTTCTGGCCCTGGCCAGGTAATTCAGTTGGTTGAGTGTCATCCTGAGACAGCAAGGTTGTGGGTTCAATCCCCGGTCAGGGCATATACAAGAGTCAACCAATCAACCAATGAATACATGGATAAGTGAAACTGCAAATTCTCATATTCTCTCTCTCTTTCCCCACTGCCCCATCTCCTTTCCTTTGTAAAAATAAAAATTAGCCCTGACCAGTGTGGTTCAGTTTGTTGGGGATCATCCCACAAAGTGAAAGGTCACGGATTCGATTCCTGGTCAGGGCACATTCCTGAGTTGCAGGCTCTGTCCCTGGTTACCGTTGGGACGTGTACAACAAACAACTGATTGAAGTTTCTCTCCTTTCTCCCTCCCCCCATCTAAAAAATAAAATCTTTTTAAAAAGTTATAAAATCCTATTCTTTCATGTTAAATGGGAACCAATATTGCAATGTCTATCTTGAGAGGTTATGATGAAGAGAGGTAATAATAAATGCAAAGCGCCAGGCATATAACAGATGCTCAATAAGTGGCAGCTATTTATGATTCTACTTATTTGTGTGGTTGTGCTTTGCCTCTCTTTGTAATCCAATCTGATTCCTAGCGCCTAATCTTCCTACTGCCCTGGATATCCACTTGCTGTGGCAGCTTAGCTTTGTCAGAGAGTAGGAGCACAGTGGTGTCCTGGTTAGTAGGGATTATAGAATCCTGACTCAGAAGTTTAGGGTAACAAAATAAAGTCAACTCTGCTGCTCATCCCACTCTAACCTTCTCATCTGTTAGTGACCAGCTTCTGGGAGGTTCCTAAGTCTGAGCCCTCTTGACCTTCCCCTAAAGGTTAGACTGTTCCAGCACTAGAGCCAGACTGCTCTTGCTAATCACTACTCCCCTTTCCTTTGCTCTGACAGTGACCCTGGACAGCTAGTTGTCCCAGAATTGGTCTGTGTAGTTGGTTTAATGGTGCCCCCCAAGGACAGCTAAGTCTTAATCCCCAGAACATGTGATTATGACCTTATTTGGACTAAAGGTCTTTGCAGGTATAATTAAGTTAAGAATCTCTAGATAAAGATCATTCTGGATTATCTATATCCAATAAAAAGATAAAATATACTGGATGGAAAAGACAGGTGTTATCTCAAAGGTGTGTGCTTCCTTGCTTTTTTTGTTTTTTTAAATTTTTATTTATTAGAGAGATGGAGAGAGAAATATTAATTGTTCCACCTATTTATGCATTTATTGGTTGATTTTTTTAAAAATATTTAAAAAATGTTTATTGATTTTGGAGAGAGAGAGAGAGAGAGAGAGGGAGAGAGAAATAGAGATGTGAAAGAGAAACATTGATTGGTTGCCTCCCATATGCGCCCAAACCGGGGATTGAACCTGCAACCTAGGTATGTTTCTGACTGGGAATGGAACCCATAATCTTTTGGTGTACAGGATGATGCTCCAACCAACTGAGCCACACCTGACAGGGCGGATTCTTTTTCTTCCCCTTAATATTTATTGATTTTTAGAGAGAGGAAGGGAGAGAGAAACACCAATTTTTTTCTTTCCACTTACTGTGTATTCACTGGTTGATCCTTGTATGTACCCTGACCAGGGATCAAACCCAAACCTTGGCATATTGAGACAATGCTCTAATCAACTGAGCTATCCAGTCAGGGCCTTTTTTTTTTTTTTTTTTTTTTTTTTTGCCTTTTTGAAACAAATCTTAATTGTAAAAAAATTAAAGATCCAGAAAACTGAACAAAACAAATGTATGGATGAATGAATTATTATAAGGTGAACATCCTTGTAACTACCCTGGTCAAGAAATAAAACTTGACCTGCACCCTTTCTATATGCCCCCAGCCACATCACAACCCCTTCCCTCCCACCAAAAGTAACCATCAGCCTGATATTTCTAGTCTTCACTTTCTGGGTGATTTTGTTGTTGTTGTTGTAGTTTGTTTTTGGTTTGGTTTTGTATTGTTTTTGAGTTTCATCACCCAGATATACATTTCCGAGAACTTGCCCATTTAGAAAATGTTGGTATTTCTTTTAAGTCTCTTAATCTACAGTTCCTCATACATCCTTTTTACTTAGAATTTATCCTGAAGAATGTAGTGAGTTTAACGGTGGCCCCTTCCAAAATACATGTCCACTGGAAACCGAATTGGACTTTCTTTAGAAAAGGAGTCTTTGCAGAAGAGTTCAAGTAAGGATCTCAAGGTGAAATTATTCTGGATTAGAGCGAGCCCTAAATCCAATGTCAGTTATTTTATAAGAGAAGAGGAGAGGAGAAACACAGAGGAGATCATGTGA